TTCTGAGCTGTGAATTTTTCTCCCTATATAGTATTGTAGAGATTTTACATTTTGTTTTGTAACTATCATCATTGAAGACTTGGGAAAAAGAAATTTAGTATTGCTAAAACCTTAGACTATTGTCATTGCTTCCTTTGTATGTAAACCAAATTGAAACAAATCACTTCAGTCTCCTTTGAAAATGAGTAGGCCAAAAGACAGGACAATTCTGAAAGTCAATACCTGTAATGGCTACTTTTGAAGTGCTAGAGTACTTGCAAGAGATAAAACCCAAGTCTTGACAAAGCCAAAGGAATCCTTGTGGGCTTTGCAACCTTAAGTAAATAATGGATAAAGGATGGTAGAACTTTGAGAAGCACCCTGAAAAGAAATCACCACTACCCTTGCAATGACAATTACAGTACATTCAGTTGGTCAAACAGAAAAAAATATGAATGAAATATCCCTGTATCCCTGAGTAACTTTCCTATTCCTCACCTTTTGAAATCAGTGTTCAGTATCATCTGACTACTTCATTTAACTTGTCCTTATAAATTTGATGACACTTAAAGAGTGACTCATCCACTTACCCCAATGGGCATTCCAGGAAATTGTTCCTGTTTATTACCATCTTCAAATGATGGAAAAGCACAAAAGAATGAGAGAAAAAATAATTATTTTTACAATCTGATCCTAAATGTTAAAGAAGCACCCTATTCTTAAAGATCGTCCCCATCATTTGCAAATTTAATGCACTGCTGAAGATGCAAACTATCTATATAACTGCTCTTGAATTTCATTAAAATTAATCGGAAGTCCTATTTAATGTCTCTGAGAATTGCTTCAAGTGGCAAAAATCAGAAAATCTACCCATGGGGCACATTCAGCTAATTGCAATTTACTTCTCAACCAGTCATTCCTTAGCCCTAGGCTGCAGCTGCATAAAGATGAAACAACTTTGGATGACAAATGCCAGTCAAAACATTTATTTTGCGTCATATAATTTTCAATGACCCATTGGTTTCCTCAATATTTGTCTTAACAAGTAAGAATGATGATGTGATAAACCAAGCCTAGATGTAAATTGTTAAAATTATTTTCTCTGGAATTTGGACCTATCATTTGCTCCCTCCCGGTTGGTATTGGAAATCAAATAGGGAAATTACAAGAACAAAGAGGGACAGAGCTTATACTTGCATGTGCACACTGTTTAGGACAGATAACAATGTATAAAGTGAAGTTTTGGAAACAGAGTCATACTCTAATTCTCACCAGCCAAGTGAGTAGGGACAGTCTCTTTACTTAATAGCAAAATGGGGAAGAGGGTAGATCAAAATAGTGTTTTCCTTAGGATTACATGAGATCATGTACATGAAAATAGTGTTTTGTAAATTGAAGGTGCTGAGCAGATGTTAGTTACTGCTAGACAGAGCCTAGTCTATGAAAATGAAGCCATAAGGATAAATCATAAAATCAAGCATACTTATGTGTTCAACAGAATATAGAGTATTTCATTCAAATTGCAGTTGGGAGGGAGGAGGAGTGAGAAAGGGGAGGAAATGCTGAATGAAATCAACAGTTTATGAATGTGCATGTATGAATATATCACTATGAATCCCACTATTACATATAATTAAAGTGTACCAATTTAAAAAAAGTAAAATAAACAAAAAGAAAAACAGAGTGGATAACAGGGGTCAGAGGAGAGAGAAGAGGACAGAAAAGGGCAGTACTGGGAATTGAAATGGAGCAAATTATGTTATATGCATTTGTGAATGTGTCAAAATGAACTCCACTATTATGCATAACTATGGCACAAACAAAAAACAAAATAAAAAAGAACTTCATTCAAATGATTTAGTGGTGATTTTCCTCTCATCTAAATGTAAGCATTGGTCTGTCATTTTCCTCTTGTGATTATCCAGCTGATAGTGAGTTTTAGGGTTTAAAAACAGTATACATTCTCCTTTTCCAGAACATCTCCAAGTTTTCCTGAAAGTCAAAGAATATGAATTAATTTGTTACAACAAAGTATGTAGTTGTTAGGCTCTTATTCTAAATAAAAATGTTGAAACAAATGGTTGCTTAATTTTTAGGTGAAAGTGTGTATTTATAAGAAATGTTTATTCAGGGAATTTTATTCTAGTATGGCAATGTAAAAGTTTCACCAAAGGCCAATACTTCTATTCTCAAATAATTATATTGAAAAAAAAACATCTGAGTAGACACCAGCTATACTTCAAAAAATAATTTTTCTTTGTAGAATCTTTGCTCCTATTGACAAGAGCTATTTCTAGACCAATTGGTTGGAGAGCAGTGTCTCACACCCTTATCTTCTATAAAACAGGAGTGACCATTTCAACCCATTATCTTCGGACTCTGAGTCTTAATCTTCCACTCTCTGACTATAAACTCCCTAATTTTCAGCATCCTCTTACTCTTCTTACATTTTCCCCCTTCATTTCCTCCTAGTCTTTAATCTCTCTACCCCTAGTTTTTTTCTAACCTACATACATCTTTGATTCTCTCATCTTCCCAGAATACCTTTAACATTGAATCTATGTCATAGTGACCATTCTATTCTCCAGACAGTTGACCTCTGTGAGAGAAAAAACAAAAACAAAAAAACTTTACATTCAAGTACTTTTTACATGTAGCACCTTTGTTAGTTTTTTTTTTTTTTTGTGGTCTCATTTTGTCTTCACTAAACATGAGGAAGATTTTTGCCCATTTTACAGGTAAGAAAATGTTTTCACTGAGGTTTATTAACTTCTCCAAAGCATTACATCAAATCAAAGATGCCGTCAATTGTAGACACATTATTTTTAAAAAAAGTTTAAAAATGCTATTAATCTAATTACAAGGTTACAGTTACATCTTGATTTCAGCAGAAATGTTCGAAGTACAAAAAAAAATATATCTAAGAATCAATAAAATTTGACAAGTAAAAACTACACAGTACAAACCCAGGCAGTTGGTATCCAGACCATAATAGTGTTTATCATTTTGTTATTCTGTCTCATAAAAAACATCCAAACATACAAAGTGGTATGTTAAAAATTCATAGTCTCAGACAATATCTAAAGTTTTATTCCTGTTCTTTAGTCTCTGTCTTCTCTCTTCTTTTTTTTTCCTTCAGTGATTTTTTCAAAGCGTTTCTAGCCTCTATAGCTCCCTACCTAATACTTACCCTCCTTTTCTTTTTTCAGGTAAGCATTCATTGTCATTAAGAAAATTGAGACATGAGTCACCCCTTCCCTCAGCCTCTGCTCTCTTCCACATTACTACAGACACACCTATAGTCCAAAGGCAGCCTTCCTTCTGACCTGTTTCAGAGGGTGAGATATCTCCCTTCCTGTTAGATGCTGACTCCCTCCTCCTTATTCTTTTATCCTTATTGCTTCTGTGTCCTCCGACATTACTAATCATCTTTCCTTCCTGGGTTTCAACTTCTCCCTCTCGCTTAGGTTCTCTCCTTCAGCCTGTGAGCATGATCAAGATCCAAGCCTAACCTTCTGTTCCAATTTTTCACACTTGTTTTGTAAAACCTTTCTAAAGAGGGCTCCCCTCATGCTGTCTTCTGGTTCAGTCCATCATAACGTTTCCTTCCCCAACATTCGTTTGAAATTGCTCTTGATAAGTTGTTCAGTGACCTCTTGTTTTTAAGATCCAATAGAAATTCTTTATCATCATTTTATTGGCATCTGTCACTCAATCTGTGATGTGATTGATTTCTTCTCTTGGTGAGAAGCTTTACCTCATTGGCTTCTAAGGTACCACACTTTCCTGATTCTTCTTACCTCATTGTTTTTTAATCACTTACACATTGACATTTCCCAAGTCCTATCCTGTTGCCATTATACTTTCCCACACCCCCAGGAGATAGGCAGAGGCAGGCATTCTGCTAAGTTCAAAGATGAAGATACACACTCCATCCAGTTTCAGAGCAGAAGGAGAAGCCCAGAGCTCCCCATTAGACTCCTCTTTAGAGTTCCTTATTCCTGTCCCTTGGAGGAAGGGGCTAATTTTTCTGTGACTTCAGTAAACTTCACTGTAAAGTATGATGCCCCTGTGGAAGGTAACCATGGATACTAGTAAGCTGGCACAAAAGTCTTCGGTTAAAGGACACTACAAGTTCTTTTTAGGACTCTAAGGGGGCTTTGAGGTGGAGGACAGGACCTGGAAACACTTGGGAAGGGAGGACGATTGTCTAGAGCCTTTGGGCTGGGTTTATCTTAGTTGAGGTTGTGCCAAGGCTCATCAGAGTCCTAGGGGAGCCACAGGACTCTAGCCAGGGACTAAGCTATTAACTAGCTGTGAGGTAAGAATCAAAAGGGAATTCCAGGCATGTCCTTTTCTTGGAAAGCAGGGACCCCGCTGTGAAAATCGGACTGAATGGGTCAAAAGGAAAAGCAACCACCCAGGCTGGAGATAAGATCTCCTGTTATCCAGTCAAGGGAAGCTTCCAGTAGCGCCAAGTCCCTACCCACTTCTGGGCCTTTGTAAGGGTGTTTTGCTCCTTCCTGCCTAGGACCTCAGTCAGGCAACAGAAATTCACGTCCAGAATATCTTGGGAAATCTCTACCTTATTTCGTGGGAGCTCTTGCTGACCTCTGGAAGGGGGCCCATGTCCCTTTTCCGACCCCAGATTTCAAGGCCTTTCCTCACGTCCCTTTATGCTCAAGAGAGGCACACTTGGAGAGCGGGGGACCTGGGGACCTCCACTCTGCCCTAGACGGGTGGAGCGGGCGCCAACTTTCCAGCTCCAGTCAGCAGCAGCAGCACACCTCCCGAGGTTGGTAGGGGAAGCCAAATGCAGAAGGCTCCATTCTGCTGGGTGGAGGGCGGATATGGGTCAGGGTCAGTCAGGGAGTGTGTGGCCAAGCCGGCTTGTTTCCAGAAACGAAATCCTCAGAGGAGGAAGCCGAGAGGAGGGTGCGGGAGAAGGACTTGGAGGCGAGAGGTGGCGGCAGTTTCCAGGCGCTTTGACGTAGACTTGAAGAGGCGCCGAACACTCCCACTGCTTAAGAAGAGGCACTGTAGCAGTCAGGACGCGGAAGCTGGGGACAGTGACTCGCTCTGGGAGCAGCCGGAGCACTTCCTCTGCGCGCACTCGAGGGAACCCTCTTGGCGCATTCGAGGGAACACTGAGAGGGCAGAGCAGGTGAGTGCGGAGGGGCGCCCTTCTGCGACCCGGGAGTAGAGCTGCAGAGTAAGGAGGTGAGCGGGGCCAAGTCAGAGCGGGTCCCTGGCGGCTCCGCCCAGGAGGGGCGAGGTCGGGAGACCAGGTGCGGGGCTAGGACGCGCCCAGCAGAGCGTGGGGCTCCGATCAGGGCGCACGGAGGACCCCAGCCGTTAAAGAACTTGGAGAAACACCTTTCCAGGCTCAGAGAATCATGTCTAAAGAAGGGAATCGGAAAGATTCCACAAGATCCTTGTGGCCTGAGCCGACGGGGAGTCCTGGACACCGCCAACTTCAGCACCCTGGACAGCGTCCCGCCCTTAGTCTTAAAAACTTGGCACTTAAGGCTTAGGCTTAGATTCAGCCCCTGGAAGAAAAGTAACCTCTGGGAGATCTTGACTTTGCTATTTTAGTTCCGAAAAGAGCACAATAGATATATATATATATTTTTTTTCGGGCAGAGTTAATGTATAAATGATATAGAAATAGAGAAAAAAAATTGAAGTGTCTTTTATCATAATATACTCCTTCAAAATAGGGATGTGCCTGTTCAAAGAGTTTCTGAAATTTTTAACGGTATTTCATTATGTTCTGTTGCTGTGCTGAAGACAAATATTCCATTTTATGATATTATCATTGAATATTTTGATATGAAAATATTCCCATAAGTATTCTCATGGGATGTTCCTTGCTTACTTTCGTGATATTTACCATCTAAAAGCTTTTGAAAATATAATATAAGAGTAGAAGTGAGCTTTGTGTGCTTCCTGTTTCTTATTTATGTTGAAGTTGTTTAAGTGTGATTACATTGTGCACTGTGAGGATTCCGATAAGCTATTTTGTTGGGGAAAAAGAAAATTTAAGTTATTTTAAGAGCATAATTTCTCGTTGCACTTGTTTGAAGTGGTAACATAAGAACGAATTCAAGATGATATGTAGCTGCCCTGATTTTATTGTAACAGGCATTGAGAGAAAAGTTGAATGAGAGGCAAAGAATTTTCTTTAAAATCCTTGAGATTTACAACAAAAAGAGAGAAATTAAAAACAGTATCTTTATTAAATTTATATCAGATTTGAGAACATTTTAGGTGTTTGTAAAATGTCTTTTGATTCTACTTTAATGGGATGAATATATGTCCTTCAGTTTCCAAATATATTTACCCACCTTTTAGCACCTATCTTGTATTTATTTTTATTATAACGTTTTATAATTTGAATGTCTTTTCTAAAAAAAGTAAAAGCCAATGTGAATAGAAAAGTACACAAGGATAAAAATATATTTAAATTCTTAATTGCATAGGTATCTTAGATGTCTAGGTTTAAGATATTAATTAATTAAAGCCATGCAGTAAGATTTTTAAGTTTACACTTAATATTCTTTTAAACTGTATTATTCTGTACCAGGGAAAAACAGTTCTCTTATATATCTAACAAAAGAACATATATTAGGAATACTTATTAGCCCAAATATCTCGATTTTACATGATCTGGCCTGGCAATAAGTCATTTTAGATAGAAGGAGACTTGTGATATGGGAAGAAAGGTAAGACTTTTCCTATTTTGTGACAATGATGTGTTTCCTTTTCTGGGTCTATGTTTCTTAAGGGCACACTTATTTTCTCTTCTGAATGGAACAGGGACTGATGTATTTCCATCCTGTGCAGTTTCAGGACCATGGTTGATCCTGGGATCAGAAGAGGGATCCATCACCCCTTGAGCTTCACCTGCTCCCTGCTCATTGTGGGAATGTGCTGTGTGTCTCCTTTCTTCTGTCATAGCCAGACAGACCTACTGGCTCTTAACCAAGCTGATCCTCAGTGCTGGGAATCCTCCTCAGTGCTCCTCCTGGAAATGCGAAAGCCTCGCATTTCCAACACTGTGTCGGGCTTCTGGGATTTCATGATCTACCTGAAGACATCTGAGAACTTGAAGCATGGAGCACTGTTTTGGGATCTGGCTCAACTCTTCTGGGACATCTATGTGGACTGTGTCCTCTCCAGGAATCATGGCTTAGGAAGGAGGCAGCTGTCTGTAAAGGAAGAGAAAATCTCAGCAGCACAGCCACAGCACACAGGGAATAAACAAGGTGGTTAGCCCCGGCTCCCATGTCTTTTAAAAGGGTCAATCAAGTATGAATGTGCTGAATTGTGAGGAAGGGGCAAATGGCTTTAAGGGACAAATGCCACAAATATTCTTTTCAAGATCACAGAAGTAATAGAAAGATAGATAGCACTTTCTTTTGCATTTCACAATAACTATTTAGATGATCATATTGTCACTATCCTCATAGCTCATGTGAACACTAAGGAGAAAGAATAAGAAGGGCAAATAAGGAAAAGCATGATTCCTCAAATACAGGGCAAAGGTACAAAGGTATGCCCAAGATCAACACTATTTTATCACTAGCTGAAACATTGGCATTGATATTTACTTGCTGTGGAATTGGGAAAACTTGAATATAAGCCTGGGGAATATTTGTAGCACATGAATTCTTGCCCCCTTAAAATTGGAAAACAAAACAAAACATTGCTTTCATGTTAATGGAGGGGCTCTTTGAGAGGTACTTAGTTGATTAGGAGAAAAAAAATCAACTGGCATGCAGATTCACTCCTTTTTTTTAGTGAATTTCAGATAAATAGTTAACTTCTATCAAATAATTAACTTTTAGTAACTTCCCAAAAGTTTACAAATTTTCACCAAAGTAAATATTGCATTCAAATACAGTCTTCTCTAGGGGTATAGAAGTAATATCCTTTATAAAATTGGAATGAAGGTGAGTGAGATCCTGTCAATAAGTGAGCAAAGAGATGCCTGAGTTCTATTCATTTTTTGTTGTTGTTCAATTTTTGGTATTACTTCAGCCATTAAGCTTTCAAGCATCGCAGCAAGTGTAGTTTAGGTGGTAGTAACTCTTTTAGAATTATTTATGTACCAATGGAAACTGGAGTATAAATAATTTTTACTTTGTAAAAAATTGTCATTTATGCCTTTGATATATGACATATATTCCTAAATAATTAAAATAATGATTAATAGCTATGATTTTAGGACTACCTTTTCCTAAGATATTGAAGATTTTAGAGATAAAGTTTGTTTTAACCTCAGTAATTAAAAATCCTCATGACTTGCTGCCATACAAAACCAGATAATCCACTGCTATTATTTATAAATAAGTTTATTGTTTTGTTAAGTGTAATTATAACTTAAACTAATTTCAATTTTCACAGGCTATATTCTCTCTCTGCAGCTTTGATACTAAAGTAGAAATACAGATAAAATGTTTTAAGCATTGGTTGCTGCCATTAAAAAATATTTTTAGTTGTAGACAGACACAATACTATTTATTTATTTATTTATTTATTTATTTATTTATTTATTTATATGTGGTACTGAGGATCGATCCCAGGGCCTCACACATACTAGGCAAGTGTTCTACTACAGAGCCACAACCCAAGTCCATGGTTGCCACTATTTTTAAAATATTTTGAACAGAGGCTGCTCAGGTGTCAGCATAAGTAAGGACTACATATTCTCTTCTGTATGGTGGAGGGTGATCTGTAGGGATTTTTCTCTCATTTTTATTACTTAGCTGTTGTGCTCAAATAATCACAACTATATTTTGTATTTTGTACTCACCTTGAATAGCTCAGAGAAATGTCTAAAGAAAACATTTGTGTTCTCAATATGAGAATAATTATATGTATGTATACATGTTTATACACACACACACACACACACACACACACAGAGACACACACACACACACAATTCTCCATCTCCAGCCATAGAAGCCAGATCCTTTATCTCACTACAAAGTTGCTATTGAGTCAGCTGGTTTCAAACTTTAGGAACTGTTGCTTTGCAAGTAGCCAAGTAATAGGAGTGAGCATTTCTCTTTGTTGAAGTTATTTTAATGTTTGGTACAAACAATTGTTTGCAGATCAGGAAACAAGACTTTCCATTTGGTTGGCAGAACCACAGTCAAAGAGGGTCTCAGGTCAAGGAGACACATGTCCAGAAGTTAAAAAGTTACAGGAACATTGAGATTTCCTTTCAAGAGGCTTGATTAAATCTCTAGTGGCTCAACTGGGCTCTGGATGTACCTGCATGGATCTTCTAATAATTTTTCCTTTTGTCTCGGGGGGATAATATGCTACCATGTTTGGATGAAGGTGAGGGTGAAGAGGTATTTTTCTGTATATTTCTCAGGGAAATCATATCATCAGGGCAGAAGAGAAGAAGAATAAAATAAATGTGTACATAATATACAAATAGGTTTTTGCTATTTTGATGACTTTAAATCAAATAGTTTAGATCCACTTACAAAATCTTAGTATGAATCATGCTTTGCTAAAAATATGTAACTTGCCATTTTCCATTTGACTAAATCATATTTGCTAATATTATATCAATAAATTTGAAAACAAAAGATACCAAATACCTAGGTAACCTTGGGGAAATTAATTTATGCATTTGGTACTTTGTTTTTTCATCAATTAGGTAACCTCTGACATACCTTCAAGTTCTCTGTTCTAGTGTTATGTAATCCTATAAAAAATGAATATATGAAAGAAACTAATGTAACTCTGGAAAGAATCTAGAAGAGCTTTACCCAAAGGAGAGTTGACTGAGCTGGGTGATAACCTGGACACTGTGGCTATTTACAATGAAAAGTAGAAACAGAGGAGGCTCAGACATGAGAATTCTAGAAATTCTAAGGGCTAGAGATAGCATTATGAGAAAATACCCTAAAAGTTATTGTTATTTAGTCTAGAAAGATGTTGACTAACAGTTGAATGGTGGAACATATAAAGGGAATATAAAGAGGACATACCTAGGCTTAAGCACTAAATTCTGAGAGGAGAAAAAAGGAGAGAGAGGGAGAAGGCGAGGAAGAGAGAGAGGGAGAAGGAAAGAGAGAGACTGATTCATTTAGGCCAAGAGTACACCGATAATTCCCAAAGAGTAAGCTACAGTTTAGGGTAACTCACACAGTACTAAAGACTTCAATTCAAATGAAGAGATTTTGAAGTATAACCTTGTTTGTGTCAAAAATGATGGCCTCTTCCTTCAACAAACCTTGCTCTGTCACTAATAAGGACAGAAAAAAAATTATCTTCTGGGGCCTGGCAGTCTAAATGTTCTAGAAAATTTGCTATTCTTTGTTTTTCTTGTGATAAGAAAATGAAAATTTAGATTTATCAACTAATGATGTTGCAGTTGGTGTCAAATTAGCTGACAAATATTCAGTGCTTATTTTTTCAACACTAAACACAAGAGAGAACAATGCTTTGGGAACATAGATAGATCCACAGTGTTTGACTTCCTACTTTGCTCTCTCCAAGAAATTTCCTAAGCAGCATATTCAGCAATTCTTTACCTAGAAATTTACTCTAAGAAAAATCCAGAGGTTCAGGTTCTTTACTGCACTGCAATTTATAGTAACAGGAAACCTGGAGATAATCTAAACTCCCACAATATAGTGATCATTAAATAAATTATGGTATAAAGAATGTGTATAAAACTACCTCAGAAAGATTATACTGTGTGTGATTTAAAATGTTTTATTTATATTTTTACAGGAAACATTATATAAAGACCATTTTAACTTTTTAACCAGAAAAATAATGCATAGTAATTGACAAGAGAAAATGTTTTTATAATTTACATCATTCATATTATATAGGTAAACTGCATAGGACACAAAACTTTTCATAAATATAAATTTATTATATATGAAATAAGTTTATATAGAATTTTGATAGAAGAATGGAAGAAATGTTTACTTTCCTTTTTAAAAAAACAACTTACTGATATTTAATTCAACTGAAAATCATTTGGTGACCTTTAGTTTCTTTTTTCTGCTTTCAGGTGCATATTCTCAGCTTCTAAGAGTCCCTTTCCTAAAGAAGAAAGAGTTGATTGAAGATTGGATAAGCATGTATGTGCGCAGGAGTGGGTCTAGATTCGTTGGAAAAGTAAACCTGGAAATAAAGAGAAAATAAATCTAACCTTAGAGCTAACTCATGCCTTGGAATTAAAAAGTGCATACATATTTTTTCTTAAATATTGATCACTTATTTATTTTAATTGGTGAAAATGTCCAGAGATAAAAATTAATATGAAAATTAAATAATTCTTAAAGCTTCATTCTTTTAGGCTGCTAGCATATTCCTTCAAACAGTGATTACTGCCTTCAAACTGTGATTACTCCGAAGATGACTTGAGGATTGGAAGACTATACTCTGTATTAATTTGATAATTTGTCTGGGGATGTTTGACATTGTAAATGGACTGGGGATGCCATACATTTAACTTGAATACATTGCATGAATTCCAAGCCATTTACCACTGAATTGCTTGTGCACTGGCATAAAAGGAACTGTGTTTATTAATTGCTAGTTACCACAATCAGTGATACTACACTTTGAGAAAATATTTTTGAATACTGAATGAAGCAATGAATAAAATGAAACAAAAAACTGGAGGAATAAAGCATTCTTCTTATGGAAACAAAATTAATAAATGCTCTGGACCAAGTAATGTTTTGGAGTCTCTTTATCTCAATATTTAATGTTTCCACTAAAGATACCCAAACTCTGATAAAATAGCATAAGTATCAATTATCTCCCAATTACATATGTGCTATTTGATGAAATATTAAAACTGTATAAGTGGCTATAGTTTGCACTGAAAAGCAAAACACACTTAAACAGAATTATGAGAGAAAAACATATAAATAATTTTTCCTAGCAAAATGACCAGGCCTGAATGAGATTCATAGCAGTGAAGTCCAATTAGCAAATTGACTTGCGTTCCAGACATAAGGCTATTTTTATCTCTAATTATTCCCATGTTTCCAACCATTCTCTCATAACCAATGATGGAGAGCCAGTTTGAATTTCAGATATGTTAGCTATTCTCTTGATATTTTCAAATCCAAATTATTTTCAGGTCTGAATAAAATCTCAATAAATGTTTCACTGAAGCCTTTGGGACCCTCCTAAAGCTAGAAATCTTATCTAAAGTGTTATTATCAGAAGACAAAGTTTCATCTGAGGATTAGCCAAATCCTAATAATGGGGGAAGAAGTCCAGCCTCAGGGTTTGGCTGACTGGGAGAATGAGAATATTAAAAACCTGTTGTGAGGGGAATGGGAAAATAAACAAGGAGAGAAATGAATTACAGTAGATGGGGTAGAGAGAGAAGATGGGAGGGAAGGGGAGGGGGATAGTAGAGGATAGGAAGGGTAGCAGAATACAACAGTTACTAGTATGGCATTATGTAAAAATGTGGATGTGTAACCGACATGATTCTGCAATCTGCATTTGGGGTAAAAATTGGGAGTTCATAACCCACTTGAATCTAATGTATGAAATATGATATGTCAAGAGCTTTGTAATGTTGTGAACAACCAATAAAAAAATTTTAAAAAACCCTGCCACTCTTTTGCTACCATTTTTACATAGATTCATCATTTTGCTTTCATACTCTTTTCTTTAATGCCTTTCATCCTGCTCTTCAAAACCATCTGATAAACTCATCACCTCTTTTAAATCAGTAAATAGACACCACTCTTGGAGAATGCCAACAGCAGTTGGCAATATTTTCTGTAAAGAGTAGGGGTTGTTGGCTTTCCTGTGTCTATTGCAATTAATCAGGTCTACCTTGGTAGAATAAAAGAAACTATGATACATAATAAAAGAGCATGGTTATTTTTCAATAGAACTTGGTTTATGGACACCATCATTTAAATCCATATACTCTCCAGGTGTCCTTTTCAACCACTTATAAAATGTAATACCCACTCTTAGCTCACAGCCTGTTCAAAGTAGGCAGTGGGCAGGATTTGGCCCACAGGCTGTGGTTTGCTGAACCATCATGCTTTATGGCATATTATCCCATGTATAAGGAGCACTAAGGGTTGAAGAAAGAAGAGTGAATATGTCAAATGACAATACCAAAACAAAGATGTATGATAGGCTGGGAAACAAACATAAAAATTAGGATGAGATTGAACAGGGATAAATTCATCTTAATCCTATCCAACTGGACATTATTTTACTCTGTAAACAGTACTAGGAATTATAGAGCACACATACACACACATATGTATACATACACATATATGTATATCTATAATCTCTCTGAGTGTAATATGGACCATAGATTTTGAATGGAATCCTAATAATTTCTATTGAGAGCAATTAGAGATCAGTGATTGGATTGTAGGCTCAGAAGCTGGGTTCAAATATCAACTTCAAGTACCAGCCAAATGATTTTGCCTAAGTTATTAAATGTCCTTGTGCTCCATTTAAAAAAAATAAAATGACATACCAGCTTTCTAGGTCTGTTGTAAGGATTAAATAAGTTAGTACATATAAAGTGTTTAAAACTAAGTGTTGTATCAGTAAAAAAAAAAAATTGTTAGCTCCTACTTTGGATATAGAGTTAAGCATATCTATAATCTAATTCAACACACAGAGAAAGGACACACAGGTGCTTTGGTGAAACTCATGAGATGGAGGTTTTGAAAACATTCACATAAGTCTTTTGAGATACTTTTTTATTTATAAACAATTATAAGAAATAATAGAGACATTTGTATATTCATCTAATTTCGCCCAATGGGAACATCTTGCATAACTGTAGGTCAATATCACAAGCAGGAAGCTGACATCGATGCAACCCAAGGAATTTATTCAGATTTCACTTGTCTTACAAGCACTCCTGTGTGTGTGTGTGTAGTTCTTTGTCATACCAGTTCCCAAGGAGGAGCATCCTGATGGAGAATTAGATCGTCAATCACTAATTTGAATGATATGTGAAAAAGATGCATTCATTGACATAGATCACACATTTGACTATTACTACCAAAATATCCAAAGAATGACCTTGTGACAGAAACTCCACACACCTGGATTCAATTTATTTTTCATTTACTCTTCACCTCATGGCCTTACTCTAAAGAAGATCCATTAAAAAGGAGATTCAAAATAGGATTTCTCTTCTTTAGAGTTTCCACCAATTATTGAGAGAGAGGTAGAAAACTTAATTTTCTTAATTTAGATTTTGAAAACGCATTTTGTCATCACACCTGGGGGCCTTTGAGTCTGGACTCCTTTTCATTTGAAGTTGGGCAAAGTGATTTGATCCACAAGGGCAGAGAAAGCCCTGCACACCTGCTCAGCTTTTCCATATAGGTCCATGTTCACTGAAGACTGTGGCCCTAAAATCAAGAAACAGGAGAGTCTTTCAGAGAAACCTACTTATAGGTTCTTAAGCTGATCTGGATAAAGCTTTTGCACATAGATGATATGGAACCCATCTTTCCTCAATTCCTGCAAACAATGCCTTTTCTCTAAGTTATAAGGCAAATTAGATGGCTGTATTGATCATGATCAATACCACTAATCCAAAGAAGTTGTAGGTTCTTAAGATGCATTTTCCCATGGCACAAATCTGAGGTGCCAGAAAGTCCACTCCAGACAAGTGTCTTGCAATCTCTGTACAATCAGAATCACCTGAAGAGTGTTAAAACAGAATGCTGGACCCATCCCCAGAGATGTTACTTGGTCTGTTGGGGATAAGGCAGAGAATATGTATCTGTAATAAGTTTTCAGGTGATACTGATACAGCTAAGGTTTGAGGTGCTCACCCAATATCAGTTATAAAAGGGATTGTGCTACAGCTGAGTTCTACAAGACCTTTAAAGAAGAACTAATACCAGTACTCTTCAATTTATTTCAGGAAATAGAAAAAGAGGGAGCACTTCAAACTCATTCTATGAGGCCAATATTACCTGATTCCAAAACGAGGCAAAGACACATCAAAGAAAGAAAACCTCAGATCAATATCTTTAATGAATATACATGCAAAAATTCTCAATAAAATTCTGGCAAATCAAATACAAAAAACATATCAAAACAATAGTGCCCCATGATCAAATGGGGTTCATCCACATATGTGGTTGGTTCCACATACAGAAATCAGTAAATGTAATTCTTATTGAATTAATATTGTCAAAATGACCATACTACCAAAAGCATTATACAAATTTAATGCAATTCCAATCAAAATCCCAATGACATTCCTCATAGAAACAGAAAAAGCAATTTTGAAATTCATTTGGAAAAATAAGAGATCCTGAATGGCCAAAGCAATATTTAGCAAGAAGAGTGAAGCAAGTGACATCACAACACCAGACCTTAAACTATACTACAGAGCAATAGTAACAAAACGGCATGGTATTGGCACCATAACAGACTGGTAGACCAATGGTACAGAATAGAGGACACAGAGACTAACCCACATAGTACAGTTATCTTATATTAGACAAAACATGCATTGGAGAAAAGATAGCCTCTTCAACAAATGGTGCTGGGTAAACTGGAAATCCATGTGCAACAAAACGGAATTAAACCCCATGAAAGAAAGTCCACTCCAGACGAGTGTCTTGCAAACTCTGTACAATCAGAGTTGAAAACTCTGTACAATCTCTCTCCATGCACAAAACTCAACTCAAAATGGATCAAGGACCTAGGAATTAAACCAGAGACCCTGCATCTAATAGAAGGAAAAATAGGCCCAAATCTCCATCATATCAGATTAGGCCCCTACTCCCTTAATAAGACTCCTGTAGTGCAAGGATTAAAATCAAGAATTAATAAATGGGATGGATTCAAACTAAACCACATCAATGTTTATTGCAGCACAATTCACAATAGTTAAACTGTGGAACCAACATAGATGCCCTTCAGTAGATGAATGAGTGAAGAAAATGTGGTGTATATACACAATGGAATATTACTCAGCAATAAAAGAGAATGAAATCCTGGCATTTGCAGGTAAATGGATGGAGCTGGAGAATATAATGCTAAGGGAAGTTAGCCATCCCCCGCCAAGAAAACAAATGCCGAATGTTTTCTCTGATACAAGGAGGCTAATTCATGGTGGGGTTGAGAGGGGGAGCATGGGAAGATTAGATGAACCCTAGATAGGGCAAAGGGGAGGGAGGGGAAGGGAGGGAGCAAGGGGGTAAAAAAGATGGTGGAATGAGATGCACATCATTACGCTAAGTGCATGTATGAAGACTCGAATGGTGTGAATATACTTTGAACACAACCAGAGATTTGAAAAATTGTGCTCTATGTGTGTAATACGAGTTGTAATGCATTCTGCTGTCATATATAATAAATTAGAATAAAAAATTTAAAAAGGAGATCGTGCTATAAAAAGATCTACAATTTGGTGGTTATCAATCAAAGTTTTAATGTGTGTAATCTTTAAACTAAGAACTCTTCATAGTTTAAATATACAAAATATACAAATATACAAAAAAGAATACCGCTTATAAGTACAAGGAAATATAAGGATATTCACCAAAGCCTTTGTGATCATGAAAAGCTGAAAGTAATTTGATTATACATCACTAAATATAGTATACTCACACTATGAGATGCTACATAGAATTTTAAAAAATGACATTGTTCAATGTCACTAAGCAAGCAGGAAAAAAGCAAAAGTATAGTATAATCTGACTT